CTCAGACAAACTACTGAATTTGGCAGGTAACTGTGTATTTCCTTGTGTGTGTGCTAAGGGAAGGCAGGAGTTGAGTATGCACCAAATTATCTCTTTGAAAGTGTCCTAGAAAGGATGAGCAATGTGAATGGCACTCATTGAAAAGGATTCTAGGAAGGAAAGCAGTAAGGGGATGAGAGAAGAGGAAAAGGAAACGCGGCTCACTTTATCTTTAGACATTTTCTCCCTGAAGTTACTGCACAATATAATTGCCCAGAAAGATTCAAAAGACACTCAGACATATGAGAAACAAGGGCAAAGAGAGGATGGTTGAATGGAGAAATAAAGTAAGCAGGCATGAATATCCGATGATATTTAAAGTTAAAGAGCAGATAATCCCTTGCATAGAGGGAAAAGGAAAAACTTTGGGAACAAATTTTTGAGAGATGACTGGGAAATAATAATAGGGAGGGGCAAAGTAAGTGATAGAGACTTAATGTCCAAGAAGGAAAGGCTTTAAGAATGTAAATCTAAGGGCAGGCGAGATAGCTCAGCACAATAAGCACCTGCTTAGGCAAGGACTGGCACTGGGGTTTGATCCCCAGTACCACATGCCAGGCTGGCCTCACCTCCAGGGGCGCTGAGGTTGAGACTGAGTTAAGGCATGGTGGTGCATGCCTGTAATCCCAGTGCTGGGGAGGCTGAAAACAGGAGGATCACCACGAGTCTGAGCTGCATAGTGAGACCCTGTACTAAATACATTTTAAAAAAGAATGTAAATCTTTTCCACTGGGTAAAGTCTCTCAAGGTACTACAACTTTCGGTGCTTATATTTTAATACTGATTTTAGACAATGAGAGCACCATGCTCAGAATGGTTACAACTGTCAGAGTTAACATACCAGTAAGCAGGAAACGCAAAATGTGCACCTACTTCTATCCATATTAAAGTCAGTATTTTTTATTTATTCGTAATTTATTTTTTTTATTTTTTAAAATAATTTTATTGGGAAACAAATAGCAATGAGACAGTTTCAAAACCAATTACTAGCACAGTTTCAATAATTAACACATTGCATATTGTTGTCTTAGTGATTATTCATTGTACAAGATGCAGACATGATATCCTGTCCATAAACACTATTAGAACAAATCTCTCTATTCATTGAATTAAGAGAATGCAGGTGTATATCTATGCTATTTTGAATATACAGATACAAAATGGTCGTTCATTTGTATTCCCCTTTTTTCTCTAGTTTTGTCAGAGAAGGGTATTCCACTGACATTGCATTATAGGTTCATGAATTCAGCAAAATATTCCAATATAGTCCAGTAGTCCATACTAGTAGTTGGTTTTTCGTAAGACTGGCAATGTCAGAAGTTGTTGACTGGGGCCAGGGAGATAGCTCAGCAGCATAAGCGCTTGCCTGGCAAGTGCAAAGGCCTGAGTTCAATCCCTGGTTCTGAAAAAAAAAAAAAAAAAAGAAGAAGAAGAAGAAGAAGTTGTTGACTTGAGCCTTTTACAGCTCAGCATATTAATGTGGCTTTACTTTTATACTTCGTTTTTATACTTTTCTGCTGGATGGTTAAGACCAAGATAAGGCAAGACCTATATAACAAGAAATATAACTTCTGTATTTGCCAAAGTCAGTCAAATCCCCTAAGGATTTATCCTCAAACCCTGTACTGCTATTTGTAGATCCTTTCTGAGTGTCAGCCATGTGGATGAGTCACAACCATTCCTTGACCAATTTGCTATCTGTGAAAGCCTGAGAGAATGTTTCTCTCCATGTGACTCTCCTTAGGTACACTTTACATAGTCAATCACTTTCCTCTGTGGCCCCATAATCTCCTTAATCAGAAAATTTGGGACACAACTGAGTTACATGATGTTACAGTACAGGTTCTCTTATGTCCTGAGTCTTAACTGACATTGAAAGACTAGGGCCAAAATGTTGGCTGTCCTTGCAGCCCCTGTTTTTCTCTAATTTTTGGTCTGCAAAGTTAGGTTGTTAACTCTCCAGAAGTGAAACTTATTATTATTACCCTACAACACAGGCAGTTGAGCTTAACCTCACAATCTGTCTGAATATCAAACATTTTAGGCATAACATGGAGCAGGTATTTTCCATCAAGTATTGATATGTTAAATTTTAAGTCCCTCCAGAATATGAGGAAAAAATTTAAAAAATAAAAATATTTTAAAATAAAAATAAACAGTTACATATTTTTACACAGATATTTGGAAATCTAACCATATATAGCATTTTACCTCTCTAAAATCTACTGGCTTCATTCAATGACCTACAGCCTCCAGTTTCTCATTTTACACTAAATTAAATGTTGCTAATTTCTCTCTTTAGGATTACTGGTTCCTGTCATCACTCACTTACCCATCCTCAATTCACCACAGGTGTGGACTTTCAACAGCCTAATCTGTGTCTAGTTCTCTACATCCAGGCTGACAATTCTTGCTACTCTGAATTTGGCTTTCCTTATTTCTTTACTGACCTATGCCTTTCTATCTCTCCTACAATTTGTGGTGCTGACCACAGCGGCATATGCCTCATGGTCTCCACTTATTAGTCCTCACACCTAGGAATGCTCCATTATTTTGTAACCCACTGATGCAATTCATAGACATGAAAGAAAAATGTTGTGACATTGTTTAACGAAAGAATTTCAAATGTATCAATTCTTTCTTTGCAATTAACCTACAAGCTTTCCAAGGAAATGCATAGTCCTCCAGAGTTGATTTTTAACCCCACAAATACAATGAGGATAAAGAACAGGGGTGAAGATGTGACATTAATGAGTGCAGATGGATCTTAGAAATAAAGGTAAAATAAGCACCAATTATAAATGAGGTGACTGCCTATTCAAATATGAAATGACATCTGAGGTATAAGTTGCCAAAAATAGTAACATTTCTCATTGAGCCCTGCAGATTTTCCAAGAGACAGTTATTTGGCCAGTTTTAAAATGGCATTTTCTCAGGATATACTTTAAATAATAATTTGAATAAATTTTATTTTAAAAGATTGATCAACCTCTGTACTTAAAGTGCTATAAAATGTATAAATCAGCAGTATTTCCAAGAGGTAGTGGGTTTTTTTTTAACTTCCCCTTAACTGTGTGTTCTAAAAAAGCATATTGCAGCACTACAGAGGGGCATTGAAATCCTCTGTAGCCTGGTTAATGGCCAAGACACAGTGCCAGTGCTAATAGTATCTAGGGGCAACAGAACACCAACCCTGGCTGGTTTCTGAATCGACATTTCAAGGAAAGAATGAAACCAGTGAAACTGAAAAGAAACCCATATAAACATCCCAGACCAGACATTATACAATAGACAGTTATTTTTTTTTTTTTTGGAAGTTGGACACAAACAGGAATCACAGAACTATTCTTTCATGATTTCCATATTATTTGAATCACACACAAATATTCTCATCCTCCCTTTTGTGGGTTTGAACCCCCAAGTTCTTATCTTAAATAAAAGGCCACCAAAGCCCTGTCCACATGAAATAAGCACACAGCTGGCGATTAGGAAATGCTCCATAACTAGCACTGTTTGAAGGCTCACAGATGAAGAATTCATAGAATTATTCACTTTGAACAAACCCTTTAAAACTCACGCAAAGCACAAATATCAGACATCAGAGATGTGCATGAGCACAGAATTTGGAGAAGAATTAATAATAGCTTTAGAAATTATATTTAAATAAGAGGAGATGTACAACTACTTACATAGGTCCTAGGAATATTTACTGAGACCTTGCAATGCACTTATTCATGAGCTAAACTTTCCACAAGTTACCTTGCTCAGTATTCACAACCACCCTCACAACCACCCGAGATGAGTGCTCGGCCTCAACATGAGGAAACCGAAGCGCAGAAAAAGTGGTAAAGACCCCGTGCCACAAGCCTTTGTTGTCTGTCTGGGCTAGGAGTTAAGCCCAGGTAGTCTGATTACCAGATCCAAATCTAAATTTACCAGTTCTCTTGGTTAATTACTACCTACTTTCTTCAGAGTAGAAATATTTTTTCAGCAAAAGATAAATCATGTGATGGAATATTTTGTAATGGATGATGGAGACTTAGAACATCAGGTGTCTTGAAAGTTACCTCAATGGGGAATATCCAGAACAACAGACATAAATGTAGAGTAAGAAAAACTAGAACGCACTAAAATTAACTGCATCCTGAAGTGCGCTCACACAAGAAATACAATTTCTAATGTTCCTTAAGTAAGTTTTGCTATCCCAGCAACTGTTCATTGTCATGTTTTGCTAATGGGTTCCTGACTCAAGAAATAATACATAATAGATTTTCCTAAAGTTTTCTAAATATGCAGGATATGCTAGTACTATTAAAGGAATAATTCTGTGTCTCAAACTTGTCATGGTGCATAATTATAAGATTAGTAAGGATACACTGAATATCACTTTTGCTTAATCTTTTAACTAGCTTTATTTTAATACTGCAAAGTTCACAAATAATTACGGGGTGTTACCAAAGCACCATAACACAAAGCAATCACAAAAATGCATCATTTCCAATATCACAGTATTATTTACATGAGAAATAAAGGCCCCTATAAAGTATAGTGTGTATATATATATATATATATATATCTGTATATATACTTAAAAGCGGCTTCAAACTCTTAGTCTCTAAATTTTCCACGTCCACCTTGTTAAGCAGCTTCTATCAGGCCTAGGATGCAACAGTTCTCCTAAATCATTTAAGAGCATTTTCAGTAACCTTCCCAGTAACAGTTGAGTTTAGAACTTAGTAGGATCACTGTATCTGAAAGAATTTCATCCTACGCTAACATTCAAAGAACTCTTAGAATAAAAAATGAACATTAATAAAAGAAGGTGCGGGGAAAGATATCCTTGAAGAAAACCTTTTATTTCACACAGGAAAATTGGTAAAAGGTTAAAGAATAGCACGAGGCTATTTAACCAGGGTGGCTGAAATCATGAGTTGTAAATACCTCTTGAAAAATGTCCTTACCATATACTCCATATTAGAAGCTGTTGGATACACCTGACTTCGTAACTTATTATGAAGGTCCAAGATACTCTGCATGTCATTGTCTGTGATGGCCCTTTTTCCTCTCTGCTTGGCTGTCCACCACTCACCATCCTCATCCATGTATTTTTCCAAAAGCTTTTCCAATAGAGTGGCGTTAGGAACCACCATGGCTGGGATTGCTCTCGCCATGAATAGCACTGTGGTTACTCTGAGCCACTCCCGCGCGGTGCACTTCATAATGAACGATCTCAGGATTTCCCTGGGAAAATCTCCAAGACAGCCTCTTCCACTCCTTTTGGCTAAAACGACATGTCACGTGATTAAGATGAAAATACCTGCAGATATTACTTTTCTGAGAACAAAAGCAAAATAAGAGTTTGAAAAAGAGTGTGCCAGTTTGATCTGCCACATAATACCAGCAAGTGGACTTTCACTTTTTGCAATAATTTAATCCAACTTGCTGCTTTCTTCCAGAGCATTTTATACAATATACTGTTTCCACAAAATAACTATATTTTCAAAGGCACCCATGAAGCTAAAAAACATACCAAAGTAGCTTAAAAGATTCATAACTTTAAAATAATTTGTGAATTACAAGAATTGAAATGGCTATATATTCTAGATAGCCTACAAAGTGCACTTTGTTTTACTTGTAATGATCTAGATTATTGCAATTTTTGATGTCCCTTTTCTGGGTCACAGATATTTATAACGTCCATAAACAGTCCGAAATTCAGGGCAAATATTTTTAAAGTACAAACGTGCTGTACAAACATGATTCCATGGTGCATGGAGAGGGTCCGGGAACTGCAGCAAGAGAAGAGGTCGGGTCACTGGAAAAATTCTTTTTTCCAGGCGCAAGTCAGTAGCTCATTGTTTCCTGGAAAGTTTGTGCCTAACCTGTGGCCCTCACCCGAGATAGCCTCAGCCTTGGCAACTTCATAACTTCGGCTCCCAGACACCGCGGGCGCACGCTAGCCGCTTAATCCCAGCGGAGGGCGCGCGTCCCAGAGAGGAGGCGAAATGAGCTGAAATGAGTTCAGGAGAACAAGCTCCCGCTCGCGCGCTAGCCTCCGCTTTTCCAGGATCCCACCTACCCTTCGTGCCCACCATTTTCTAAAGATGGCTTTTATTTTCTCTTTAAGAAACGATTAAAAAGAAAAGAGGGTCTAAGAGAAGGTTACAGCCTGACCCCTCCGCGGCGCGTTTTAGAAACGCCCTTACCTCTCCAGCGTTAGGTCCCCGGGACAGCGGAGAACTGGGCGGCTGCGCGGCCTCTGCAGCCGCCTCCCGCCGTCACCAGCGCTGCGAACGGCAGCCCCGTTACCAGGGCCCAGGAGCCGCGGGTCCCTGCGCGGAAAGGGCGCTCGCTGCAGGGGGAGCCTTCGCCTCCTCCGCTCGTTTGCGACCTGCAAGCGACAGGCAAAGCGCTCCAAAGTTAGATCGGCGAGTCGCGGCGGATAGGGAGCATCCTCCTTAGCTTGCCAGGCTGGGCGGCGGGTGTCTCGGAGCTTTCTCTGTAAGGGCGAGAGGCGGGGACAAGAGCGGGGCTTGGCGGCGACCTAGCGCTCCCTCGGGGTGCTGACCGAGCGCAGAGCCCGGCGCCAAGCGCTTCCGCTGCTCCCTCGCCCTCGCGGGCATTTATTGCGGTCCTAGCGCGCACGTGACCGGGCGCCCCTCCTCGCCCACTCCACCTCCACCTCTACCTCCGCCTCCATCCAGCTCTGGCCAGAGGCCTGCTGAGCGCCAGAACAGCTCCCTGGCGCCTCGAAGCCAAGGAGCTGGACCTTTGGGGTAGTTCTTTGGGCTGCCTAGAAGTGGGGAGGGCAGGTCGGGACCCTGCAGGAGGTGCGAAAGGAGGTCCCTGACCTCCTCCCTCGGTTCTCAGCCCCCTACTTGGAAAGGTCCTCCTCACAGTTCCCCTTGATGAGATGCTAAAGTGCCTGTAACAGCCCCTACTGAGGAGGAGCTGTCCTGGAGAGCTCAGGGTGGTGCAGGGTTGCGAAGGGTAGTACCCACCATCTTCAGTCTTGGAGACTCAACGCCTATCCAGAAGTAACCTAGAACAGAGATGGTCTCTTGCTCAATAAAACCTTGAAGAGGATCAGCTAGAGAAGAGGTTTCATAGACTGCTAGAGATGCCCATGATTTTGGTCTCTTGGCAGTAGAGAGTTGCTCTTAACCCATAAAATGTGTCATACTGTCTTCCCAAGGTGACCACCGCCCATTTTTTGCTCTTACTGATATGTACATTTATGGAGTCAGTATATAATTAATGGCTACCTTAATTTACCAGTGCTAAGTTGGTGGAAATCCAAATGTCAGCTCTAGAATACAAAGGACAGCATGATGTCCAAGGAGTACTCAAGTAGGACAGCTACTAATTTTCAATCCACAAAGGTTACCTCTACCAAGTGTAGGGCTGTTTCCTAAACCATGTTTTTACTTCAAAAGCATTTATTTCACTGATTTACTGTTGCTTCCTGTATGCAGTGTGTCATAATTTCAATTTTCTTTATGTGGAAATGCTGGGGTAGTCTAACCTATAACCAAGTAAAACCGTTTGGTAGTAAAGCTCATCACATCCAAATTCTACCTGTCTCCACCATCTGCCTACACTTAGAAAAAAAAAAAAAATCAGACCTGAAAATCTCAGCTCTAAGTCTCAGGAGAACATCAGACTGCTTTTCACAAAGAAGGAAAGGGAGATGTCACTTACCCAAAGGAGGCAGAAGGAGTAACATTCTGGAATACAGAAACCTTTTATAGGAGACATGACATAATTCCATAGAAGCTTAAGCAACAGACTTAAGCTCACTTGACTTAAAACCATTGAATGTATACTTTTTAAACACTTATGTATAACTCTCAGAGACAGGGTTCAGAAAACTGACTTTCTTCTGGGAACTGTTGTAAAATCTTCAGAGATTGTAGTAAAATCAATCATTTGTAAAAGCAAATGTAGAAATGTTTCTATATTACAATGTTTAGGAATATTAAACAATTTACTGAGTACTGGATAAAAAAACATTGAGAGTAATAACATTACTTGAAACATTTTCAAGGAGAACTTAAATTAGGAAGAAGGGAACTTACACTAAATGTGCTGATAACTCCTTAATGTCTTAGTCATAAACCTTTCTATGAAATGCACAAACCCAACATATAAACACTTTAAGCAAAATAAAATTTAGTTTTAATTCTAATATTTTCTCCAGGAAAAAGAATATATATACCTTTAACTCAGTGTTTTGATTGGCTTCTAATCTGGGTAGAGCATTTTCTATTCTAATATAAAGGAATGACTTAAAATTCAGCATGTTAAAGATTAACATTTCAAAATGACATTTTGTCATTCCTGAGTCAAGTATATGTGTCATTTTGAAAAGTAAAACCAAGCATAATATTCTTGACTACTCAAAGGGAATACTGTTCAAATTTTTATTTATTGTTGAAAATTCTGTGTGTAGACAGAAGAAAATGAAGACTCCACACAGAATTCATGTAAAAGTGGCACTTTAGTTTGTGGCTATGGCTGTTCCTTGTAAAACCTTGGTTGTTTTTAGTAGTACCACTTTCTTGTGGCAAACTCTGTTGGTTGCATCCCCACCAACCAGCCTTCCAACCCTTTCTTCCTTCCAAACACACAGCCTCCAATCACTGTGGGAGACAGGGGACGATTCACATTTTCTCATGCTGTCAGTAAAAGCCTGACATCATAACATGTCTGCTACTAGTTACTGATTTAGTATGCATTTGTCATGAACTCTAGCTGACTATAAAAAGACATCTACTTGGAAATTAGGAAGACATCTATTTGTGGGTGAGAAGAGGTTGGTTAAAGTATTCTGTTGTGATAAAAAAAGATAAAAAAGAGACAGAAGTGATGTGTATGTTTGCAAACATTAGAAATATACTTCTTGTTATGTGAAGAAAAAGGGCAAACCTAATTCCTGATTGAATCTCTCTAGTGTTCTCTAATCATTGATATATTTCCTTCCATTGTCTGTGTGTGTATGCATGCTGCAAGAGTTAAGGAATGTCTTAAGTAACATTGACTTCAATTTTTAATTGTTTGCAGCCCAACCATTCTAAGACACATTTCTACAAAGGAAATTTCCTCCCCTCCAATGTCCTGTTTGTTCTATGATGCCATTATCTTCTCTTTCTGTTTACAGTTAGGAGTTTTCTTTTAGTGATCACATGTGCTTTTTATCCATACACTAGGCTAGGTATTTCATTCATTGTATGCTCTCATGACCTCATGACTCTGCTGTCACTCTGTTGTTGCTAAGTATATTAGTCAACCTTCCCATGGATGGACACAATACCCAACATCCACAATTCAAAGGAAGAGAGACTTAATTAGGCTCATGGTTTCGGTAGACTCAGTTCATGTTTAGCTGGCTCCAAGAAGAAACATCATGATGGCATAGGTTGATGGAATAGAGATGATTAGAGGATAGTGGCTAAGAAGCAGAGCAGGAAAACAGTGCTAAAAAGGAAGGTAAGAAGGATCAGACACAGATTCTAAGGCCTCTATGCCTCCATGATCCACATAGATTCATTCTGTTCTACCCTGCTGAATTCTAAATCCAGTCAAGTTGACAGTCTGGTTTAACCACTCAAGTAAGTCTGTCTCCAGTGGAAATATATGTAATGGTTAAGCTTGCCAACTTGACTGGATTAAAAGACTCCTGCAAAGGTGACTGGATGCTAGAGGCACTATCTTCACTCATCAGCAGGCTAATCCACTGATAGTCATAAATGACTGTGCTTTTACGTGATGGGGCCCACATGGATGTGGGTCACGGAGGTTGTAGCTCTGGAGGTTTTATCCTCACGGGTACACTTGACCTGTGTTCTGGTTTTGGGGCACCATGAAGTAAACAACTTTACTACAACCAGTCTTTCTACCGTAATGCTCCTGGCTTGAACCAACCAACCATGGACTGAAACCTCTCAAATCATGAGCCAAATTAAAGTTCTTCAAATTGTGGGTATAGTAGATTTTGTACCAGCACTGGCAAAACTGACTAATGTGCTTAGTAATAGAGTATATTCTCAACTTATAAATTCAAGTCTTTCCCATGGGCTGGTTGCAACTCAAGTTGTCAATTGAAGGCTCTTCTACACCTGCTTCAAAATCTTTTTCCAATACACCAACAGATTTCAGTGTCCTTAAAGAGGAATTGGCCCAGATTTCTCTATTAACTCCATACTAGAAAAGTTGTACTGTTCCAATTAGAATTCTTTAAGGATTAAATCTGTATCTGAGACTATGTATAAGCACAAGTGATTGGCATCTGAGTCATAATTAAAGACTTTAGTCATAAGTTAAAACTAAAATTCTAGTCATAATCCAAGTTGTGTGTATGCTGGAATAGTCATAAATTGAGGATCCACGGTATACGTAGAATTCCTGTGGTTGGTATTTTGGGTGGTGGCATCAGAGTGGCACAATGTTTTATGACACAGAATTTATGTTAAGCTACACTCATGAAGTATCACTAGTCCCTGAATATTGCATTTGCTACTTGGTTTTTGTGAGCCCTAGGTTCATCCTTCTACAGGAAAGAATACTGGCTTCTCACACTGTCACTTTGTATATTAAGATGAATTAATACATGAACAACACACAGTCATATAAGTAAAAAGTACTCAAAACCAGTTAAACAGTATTACTATAAGAACTCACTAAAGGTTTTATATTGCCTATTTTACAAAGTTAATAAGCTTCAATAAAAGTATTGTATTAGTATAATGCTAAGACTTTAAATACAAGCACTTTCAAATAGAAGCATTGAAAACAATGGCTATAAAAAAAGAAAACAATGGCTATAATACTTTCAGCCAGGTATAGTGACTTTCTTCTCACAATTAAAATAGTATCAAATTCTGTTTACTGTGGGACAGTTTTAATTCTCATGCACTGCAGCTATTTGAAGACAAGAATATATATATAAT